CGGTTCAATCCCCCAGCACCACAGGCCAGCCAGCTCCGCCCCCTGGTGGGCTGAGCTGCCCCCCCCCACACATAAATAAACTAAAAAAAAATTAAAGTTATTGATTGTTACATGAAAGACTGTTTTCAAATAGCAAGGGACCATGAGAAATCAATCTAATAGCTGCTAGCTAATACAAGGAAAAATAATATAAGATTGATCAAAATCAATAAAAAAAAAATCAAGAGATAGCCTAAAGGACATTAAAAAAACTGTTTCCAGAAGTAATGACATAAAGTTTCCCAAGTATAGGAAAATATTTTGACATACAGTTAAGTGAGGCAGGGAGAACTTCAACTAGCTACGATCAGAAAATGTATGCAACAGTCATGACTCCAGACATTCAACACAAGAACATAACATTAAAAATTGTTACAGAAAAGAAATACATCAACTATAAAAGACTATCAGAATCACAGCAGACTTCTCAACACAAACCCTTAAGTGAAGGACAGCTTGGAGTGAAGTATTTTAAGCCTAAAAGAAAACAACCTACAACCCAGATTGATGTATCTCACAAAATTATTTTTTGAAATTGATGGAGAAATAAGATAGTTTCATGATAAAGAACACCTGAAGAAATTCATGATCACCAAATCAGCATTCCAAAATGTTCTGGAGGATACTGTAGAAAGAGTTAAGGAGGATGACAACTGCATGACCCCCAACAGAATAAATCCATCATGCAAGGCAAATAAGCAAAGAGAATGAAAAAAAAAGGGGGGGGGGACAACAACAAGAAAAATAACACTATAAGGGTAAGTCGATACATATCAATTATAGCCAACAATTCACCAATCAAAACAAACAGACTGGCAAAATGGATGAAAAAGAAAGTTTCAACAATACACTACAGGTAGCTCTTCTATTTGTGGACAAATTGCATTTCTAGCCAAAGCTGATCACAAAGATAAAGAAGGTCACTGCATACTTGTTAAGAGAACAATCCAACAAGAAGAGATAACAATCATAAGTATATATGCAGCATCTACTAGATCACCTGACTATACAAAACAAACATTAATGCACATGAAAAATCAAATAAGCACGAAGGTACAGTTATAAAGGGTAATCCTGATACTTCACTGTCACACATAGACAGATTGAGATGAAAATACCAACAGAGAAATATCAGAGCTGAACCAAACCTGTGAACAAATGGGTATCTACATAGTATGTCACCCCTACAGCAGCAGAATACACATTCTTTCAACTGCACATGGGAATTTCTCCAAAATAGACCATATACCAGCTCATTGAATCATAAAATATGCTTACATAAATGCGAAGGAACTGAGATTATCCCATACATTTTAACAAATCATAGTGCAATGAAACTGGAAAACAATAGCAACAGAAATCACAAACACTTCAGAAATGCGGAAATTAAATGACACCCTGCAGAATAACCCTCCTGAACAACAACATAGACAAAATTAAAGAAAAAAAGTTTTATAATTAAACATATTGGATTTTATGGGATGCAACAAAAGCAGCCATATGAGGGAAATTTATAACAGTGAATTCCCACATCAAAAGAGCAGAACTTTATCCACATGGTTGACACTGACAAAGGATCTACAAACTGCTATACAGGGTTTCAGGGTAAATCCTGAGAGGACTTGATTGACCTTTGCAGATACAAAAGTTATAATTCTTGTTGTATAGGTCTTGCTTTATCTTGGTCTTAACCATTTAGCAGAAAAGTATAAAAATGAGATATAAAAAGTAAAGCCATATTAATATGCTGAGCTGTAAAAGGCTCAACTCAACAACTTCTGACATTGCCAGTCCTATGCATAACCCACTACTATTATGGACTACTGG